AGAGGTCTGACTGAACTATTGTTTCTTTCTTCCAAAACGCAGTTGTGATAAAACTTTACTTCTATTAGTAACATGTTGTATCATCGAGGACTTGATCCCCAAATGGTTCCACCAACGTTTACCTCGCGTCCAATTGTTGGCCTAGCACGAATCAGGGTATATATTGTATATCAAGACACTGTATAATATGGCATTAATATGGTATTGTCCTATATTTTGTCAATGATACACTGGAGGGTGAGTAGTCATTAAACAAACAAATATGTGTTTAACTCTACCATTCTTGTAGTTTCCTTGTTAGCGGCATTTGTTGCTGTTCAACATCAACCTAAGTGATCAGTAAACTTTTAAAAGAATTTTTTTCTTTGATTGCAAAGTACGAATGTTTCAATCAGAAACAAAAGATAAGAAAACTCTAATAAAAATATGAAACTATCTTACACTTTGTGTGTATTATTTGATGTGTCCGACAATCTCATTGTAAAAGACAGATTAAGTAGAAACATTAACACACAATGAGGTACATCAAAAAAGTATATTCCTGTTCACATTGTCCATAAACCAATGTTTTAAAAACGCGACGTAGGGCAAATCTTTGTAAAAAGGAAAGGTCCGATAAACATCGAGTGGGGCCTTACTTCTTGATTTTCATATTATCATCTTAAACGAATTAATGGTGTAAATACTAGTCAACAATTATGTAGGGATAAATCTATTTGGGTCACAATGAACAAGGTGTTAATGACCAACCCTAAGATTTCTTCTTCATCAATATGAACTTTGATGTCAAAGTATTTCTAAAAATCATGTAAGTTTTTATTGACTCCTACATAAACACTGTAATTCAGCTATAATTGATTTTCTTAAAGCAAACTAGTAATTGCAGCGCAATACAATAAAAATGAGATTTCAATTGGATGAATTAAGAGATGAAGAATTAAAACCTTAATTACACTACATGCATAATTGTCAACAAGCTAAATTGTGAAATAGAGGAAATTGGAAAGCAGTACAAAGATATTAGCAAAATCAGAATTGATCGTAAATAGATGAGTGTATTACATACATGTATCAGAAAAAAAGCTTTGTTGAAGGTCGCAAGTAGCAGTTTCCGTGCTTTTTGAATTTTCAAAGATTGTCTATTGCTTCCAAACATACTGATGAGTCTAATGTAGACGAAACGCGCGTCTGGCGTATTAAATTATAATCCTGGTACCTTTGATAACTATTTAGGATTTCAAATGACGCTTATATCCAAATTGTTCAACGCGGTTTCTTTTTTTTTTAACCATTTAATCATTGTAACATGTGTAAGGTTTTCCAAGTCAAACTAACAAGCATGATAAGGTGGTGGTGACTATGCAGGATAGTGATTTTAGTTTGAAATTGTCCTGTTTTAATCAAATTCGTTAAATATTTCCCTCACTTATCAAAACACCCATCTGCCCTGTGGCTATAGATATTGAAAGTTATTTGGTATGGACACATAAGAGACACTAACGCATGTTATCTACTATATTCAACAAAGAGGATATACACGCATGATGAGAGTTAATATTTGGCCCCTAAAATTGCAAAAAGAGTTATCTTTTAAAAATTATGTTATTTCTATTTATGAAAGACAGGTTGATATGATCAATTAAGCTCAGAAAGTTCACGTCTCACGTCACTATATTGTCATAAGCATGTGGACATAAATGACCTAAAATGTCCATTCTACACACAGTATTTGACAAAATAAATATTAGCCAAGGCCTTACTCAAAAAGATATTTTACACAACATTGACATCTTTATAAATACATCTTGCGGCAAAAAATCTTTTAGAGTAAAGCATCGACTCATATATACATATGTATGACCAGATCTCAGAATACGGTAACCCGAATAATGCAGTCGTTATAGTCTGCTGACGTACTATGGCTACATTTTGTACATTGTACCTTATGTACGTCCAAGTAACATATTTTAATTTTGTTGAAAAGACCGGATATGGTGCTTGGATTCACTGCACAAAAATACTTCACGGAAAGCAGAGGTAAATCTCTTTTATCGCTGTTCTTCATGGCATTTTAATGCAATTTATTATAGATCGGAAATAACGACATTGCGCTTAAAGTTTGAATAGTTGTGATCTATATTTTGAAATAATTTGTAAACCATGCACATCCTGTACTAATTAATACAGGTAACTAACAAAACCAGTTTGTCTATTAATATTGAAGACCAGTAAACGTTGCTTGGTTTGGTTTGGTATTTGTATGTAGTTAGGTTACTGTGTCGTTGACATAATCCCATATTACTTTTCTATTCATATTGTCTAAGGCATAAACAAATGAACCAAACGTAAAAGTAAATAATATACTATCTATATTTCAACTAAAATCTGATCTTTAAAATTACACCAGGTTAAATATTGTGAAGGTCTTTTCAAAAATTAAAACATTTCAATAAAGATGCTAATCATGATGATTAATTTACTAATTAACAACAGTTTACAATTTATAAGTAAAAACCATCCCAAATCTTCGTACAGTGTCATTTAACTACTATTGCGAATGAAATGAAACATTTCCATAGAGTCATCTTCTCTTGGTCAAGATATTTAAACTTTTGTCTGTTTTAGTCCCATTGAATAAATACAAAAGCTATTGTTCTCTGTGTAGTTTATTCACATGGTCCTTTAAACTCCTTCTAGGAGAAATCTAGCATTCATTGATTAATTTACCTGACCAACAAAATATCTTCTTAGTTGATAGAAATACATGTATATAAACTCACAAAACTGCATGTGATGTTGTATTTATTCAATATCAATAATATATTTTCAATGTGTTCAATATAAACACTGATTTAATCATAAAAAGATTATTTCTTACAAAATATTTAGTATTGTTCCAATTGAATTTGCATGTTTTTGTGGTTGTTCAGTTATAGAATACATTTATGAAGGCCTTAATCTAAACATCATCATTTTCAAGTTTTTATTTGTCAAACACACACACACATTGAACAAATTGAAAATGTATTATTGATATTGAAAAAATACATCACATGCAGTTTTGGATGTCCTTATTTAGTATTGGTACATGTATTTTCATCATTGAAAGTTAATTTTTTTATTCAGGTAAATTAATCAGTGAGTGATGGATTTCTCTTAGAAGAAATTTAAAGATCCCATTGAATAAACTCCACAGAGAACAATAGCTTTTGTATTTATTAGATGGGACAAAAGAACTTACAAAAGTTTAAATCGACAGGTAACTTTCAAGTGAATCTGTGGAAAAGTATCATTTCTTTCGCAATAACAACCCCGTCCTTTGATCTCTGGTGGATATGTGTCTCATTGGCATCCTATCACATATCCTTACTTGTATAAAGATGTAATCATTAAACTGAATATAAAATGTATTATTCTTGTAACTTGTAACCATTCTGTTTGCTTAATTATTTTGTGATCGTCCCTTTTTTATACTTTTATCAGTACTGAGATATGTATAAGCAACGTGTCTAACACCTGATTTTCTTAAAACAAGTCTGGTGGAGAGTAGCAATGATACCACATCTTCTTATTTGTATACTTATCTATAGTTGTTTTCATACCTGTCTTTTGGGTCTTTAGTGGATATTTGTCTCATTGCCATTCAAATTAAATTTCATTTTTTTTTCATCTTGTCTAATGATACAATTTCAATAGGATTAACCATCTACAAATTCTTTACATATGTATTGTACATGTATATATATATATTTTTGGTTGTAAAAGTCACTCACTGTTACACAAAAAAATCTTGTGGCAGGAAAAGTTCCATCTCGTAACGAACACTTTTGACTTCATTTCTTTCTGAAGTGTTTTAAATATTTATTTTTATTTTCTGTATAAACTATATACATGTGTATCTTGGCACGACAAGTGATTTTTGAACCAGGATATTCTGTTTGGGTTTGTTTACATTTTTATGTACCTTGTTTCGACCCAACAATAAGACATTTTGAATAAAGAAAAATAAAATTTAACATGACGATACCACAACCTAAACAGTCTTTAAAATAGACACATAACATCAACTATTTTGTTTCAATATCTAGAGATAAATGAACATGTTTTTATTGAAAATTAGTTCAACACACATATTGGTTTGAAAGATGATTTTTGTAATGTGCGTTTACCCTTTATGCACGATTGTATAGTCCACTGAAAGACTTTTCCCTCGTTTTTTCTTCAATCTGTCTTACAATATTTCTTACAATATTTCTATGTGAAATACTTTCAATGAATTTTCTATTTGAACAAAAAAAAACTAATAAGGTTTATACAGAATGACAACATTTCATCGATCTGTTATGAAATTTACCTTTTATGAACTATTATGTAGTCCACTGAAAGACTTTTTGTTCGTTTTCATTATAAGAAAACCTTCCTACGTTCTTAACTTGTATCTACCTTGATATATTTTGTGTGAAATACGTTCGATAAATTTTCCGTTTTAATAAAAACATAAATAAGGTTTGAACAGAACGTTTCATCGATCTGTTATGAAGTATTTGAATCGATCTGCTATAAAAAAAAAAGTATGTCATAATTTGATCCATGTAAACATTGAACGCATATTAACAAGAAAAATAAAAAGCCAATAAGTTATTCTATCAAATACAAAACAGATGTATGAGAACAATGCTTCTTTGTGCTAATAATTTGTTAACACTGATAACTAGTCTACGAACAGTTTAGTTTGTATGCCAATTATTATAATTATGTTGTTAATCAAGACTACTGTAAATGAATTAATAAGTTATGATGTTCCCAATTAAACCCCTCTACGTATAAACGGAAGTAAAAAGAAAAGAAAAAATTATGCATGCATGTAATATACACTTTTTTGTAACACATAAAAGTTGGTATTTCACTTTGAGTTGAACTAATTTCTACAATCATTAAAACTATTTTCAAACTATGTATACAGTATTTGCATGCATCTATCAATAAATATCTTTACTTACATTCAATTGCAAACATAGAATTATCACTACCATCTATTCCAATAACTACTTTTTTACCCTTAGAGCTCTCTTTTAACTTTTCTGCCATTGTGTTTTAATCCAAAATATTTTACAATAGAGTTTTTCACACAGAGATTGATTCTTCAATGCTTCGTTTAACAAAATAGGCAAGTAAACCTCTTCCGCTAATGTAACAGGTCGGGATTATAAAAAGTTTCAGATCAATCCAACAGATATTGACTGATAGCTTCAGTTGGGAAATTCCCACAGGTTATCGATATTTTTTTTTGGTAAAAACAGTGCATACCGATAATTTATGCAATAATTCATTATTAAGCAGTTGCATTTGATTGAAGAAATTTAATCGATATTCAAATGTTTAATGTCAATCATGATACTGATAGGAACTTTTTGTCATACTTTAAATTTCATTATATTTAGAGTTATAAATGTCTAAGCACAATTTATCATAGTAGATTATTCTCTTTAGTACTATTTTTAAAGGACTTATCAACAATAGTAAGCCGAAAAGCTTTTACATGGCATTAATCTTAGATGTTTATACTGATTACATCAAACATTATATTAAATCATCTTTTCAAACGTCGAACTACATATTTGTATGAGGTATTTTCTGATATATGACACTAACAATACATGTTACCGGCATTGTTGTTACAAATGTTGAGCTTTACTGTTTATAAGAGAGAAAAAAAAAGAAACCTGATAAAAAAAGGATACGGCAAAGATTACTTATCGAATTAAATTTGTACAGAGAATTATCAATATTTAGTCCAGACTTACTTCAAATATGGAGATGTGGTGGTTACAAGAGCGCAATTATTCGTAATGCATTTTCCATAGGGTACCACTGGCGTTCCGTATTTTTTTCTCGAAGACTACACAAACTAGGGAAAAACGGATTGTAGTTCCTGTTACTAGAAATGCAAGTGTTGCATTACAACCAAAAAAAAAATATAGGGTCATGCGGCAGAAATTGACTTAAAATGCAGTTGAAAAAGATCGTCTATTTTTTTCGCTTAATGAAAAAGGCATATTTTTAATGGCTCCGACGTGCAGAAATGGAGGATATTTTCTATACTTCGTAAAATGTGAATATGATTTCTGCAATTTTTAAACCTAATTGGATAAGCTTTCGATTAAATGCAATTCCAATCCTGTATCATCCAATCAGAAGCCGTATAGGATTCTATTCTGAGTACCATCTTGGGGTAAAAAACTTGCCGGTAAAATGTAAACAAATGATTGCCAATGAGACAACTATCCCACAAATGACGTGAATATTTTTATGTATTTTGGGAAAGCTTACAAATTTATTTTTTTTCCAGTGTTTGACAAACACAATTTTCAAGTCTAATTTAATAAGTGTAATAATATAAGTGGTTTTTTTTTTGTGTACTAGATACATGCTCGAGATGTTTCCGGTCCTGAAAACCAAATCAAATTGGCCTGTTTTCAATTAATCTGGCGAAAATCAAAATTGCCATGCACTAATAGTGACATTATTTAAAGAATATTGATGAATACAAATGTATGTACCATGTGCACTCAGTAACAGTAACATGAGCAAATATTCAAAAATAGACAACCACGTTACTATCTGATTATTATTAAACACTTTCATTCAACAAAGTTGTCATTAATAAATCATAAATAGAGTTCAAACTTCTCGAATGAAAGTGTGAATGAAAATAAGAGAGTAAGTGTTGATTTTTTGTATAACAACATGAACAATGAATCGGTGCTGTTATTTGTTTAACTACAACAACAAAATTATGCACTCTCTTTTTATTCTAAATTCAGTAAAAATATCAAACATGTATTTCTTTTACTCAAAACAATTTATCTAATTTGATTCTAGAAATAAGAATATTATGAACATGTATAATGGATTAACTATTTTACTAAATTCAATTTCTAAATTGGAAACATTCCTTTTTATATATTGTTAACCAAGACTTATGAGTCTAGACAGAAAACATATTCAAAGCTTGAACAAAAATGACACAGGCTCAACTGTTGTGTGATGTATTGTCTTCCATTTGACCCATCGTCTTTAGTAAACTTCTGCAACACAGATTTCGCCAATCAGTTGCAACCTTTGCAGAAATTTCCATTTCAAGATACTGTACAATGCTTGGGATGTTGATCAGAAATTCAAAATAGCTGCTGGGTCAACTAATTGGTCTTAAATTACAAATATTTTCGGAGGAATCGCTTGGCATTGTTAATTTGGATTTTATTTTTTTTGGTGCCAATCCAAATCAAAGCGAGTTGTCACTAAGGATCAAAGTTAACATGGAACCCTTTGACAAATACATTCATTGAGCTTTTTCTCAGAAACCATATCCACCATTCTCACAAAATCTTGCACAAAAGATGCTAGGATGATCCTATACTGGTAAGTATTATCAAAGTTTGTCATTCAATGATATCATTTGAAAGGAACAAAACCGATCTGTATTGACCGCAGGTAAAATTTACAAACACACGTAAATTGAAAATGTCTTGGACAAAACAAATTTTTAGATATCGATTTATAATTTTAAATTGTTTCATTTTTATTAAAATTATCTGATTAATCATTTATGTTCTATCCGTTTTCGTGTTCTTCTTTTACAAACAAAATCTAAATCTGAAAATAGATACTAAATAAAAAAAAATACGTGTGATTTACATAAACTACTGAAATTAAAGATGTTTAGACCGTTAGATAAAATTCCATTTCACTGAAATATCAAGTTTACTTCATCTAATAATAATCTTTATCATATTCACAAAATAAAAAAAAAAAAAAAAACATGTAGCTGTACAAATCACAAATATTTTATTTTGATTAAACTTCACAATGAACAGAGTTTTTGTGATATCTGAATCAAATAGATCGTTTGTATTTTCTAATTTTTCAGTAATATCGAAAAATGAAGTTGTTAAGAGGATAACAAAATTGGTTTCTTCTCAATTTAAATGTTATCATATGTAAAAAATATCTTTATTTGTACCATTAACTTGGTATCATAAGACCTAAAGAATCTCGAAGCATCATTGACAAATAATGATATGTTAGTTTTGTAATATCGGCACTAGAATATTTTGATTAAGTGTTGAAGCGAAACGGAAATTACTAAAACAGTTGATTCTCTGGATGATGTTGCCATGTCAAAACAATGAATGCGTGAGACTATAATGATTAACGAAAACAGTTCAGTATGGAGTATCGTGTAAAATGAAACAAAACCTGACACTCGTTTTCTCAGCCTTAACCCGTTTCTGGTGTTCATAATTGTTAAAAAAAAACTCTATCAAAATATTATTAATAAAGATATCGAACTCTAAGGTAAATTAACCTGGTCGAATACAGAAAAAAAATACATTGCCACCAACTGTACTAAAAATGAACTTCACCATAAATAAGCATCAGTCATTAAAATTACCGCACAGAAAAAGTTTAAAAATTGTTTTGATCATTGTCAAAGAATGAAACTATCTTACACTTTGTGATACATAATTTAAGATGGCAATTTAATGTAAAAATTTGCCCAACAATCTCATTGTGAAAAACAGATTCAGTAGAAACATTAAGACACCTTGAGGTACATTAAATAAGTATATTCGTGTTAATACTACATAAATGTATGTTTTTAAACTCGAAGTATGGCAAACGTTTGTAAAAAGGGAAGATCCATTACGTCTCGAGTGGGGCCTCACTTCTTGATATTTATATTGTTATTTTAAATGAATTAATGGTGTAAATACTAAAACATGTGTCAACAATTTTGTAGGGATGAAACTATTGGGTTCACAATGTATAAGGTGTTAATGACCAACCCTAACATTTCTCCTTCATTTATTTGATCCTTGATAACAAAGTATTTCTGAAAATACTTTCAAATTTTATTGACTCCTACATAAACATTAAACAGTAAAACCTGTATAAACCGGCCGGCTACGTTACTATAAAAAAGGGCCGGTTTGGATAGTGGGCCGGTTTATTCAGGTTTCCGTTTTGACCGGAACTTAATGACTTGTGACGTCCGATATATTGCATGTTAAAGTTCTGTCTGATTGAAAATCATCAACTGATAAATACAAAACTTATTAACGTAATAACTTCGCACGATCGTTGTTTTGAATCTTCTTATTCATTGGCTATAGAAATTAAAGAAACTGGTTGTTCCTCGAATTGAAAAAAAATATATTTCAACCTTTTCTTACATATCCTCGTATATCAACTAGACCTCGGTAGCATCAATCTCCGACTTGTCAGTTCATTTGCACCAGAAATCTCGCGTTGTTTGAATTGTGACACGAGAGTTTCGTTTTACTCCATCGTAGTTGAACTGTAATTGCTAATCTAAAAGCAAACTAGTAATTGCAGCGCAATACAACAAAAATGAGATTTCAGATGGATGAACTAAGAGATGAAGAACTAAACTAGAGGCTCTCAAGAACCTGTGTCGCTCACCTGATTCTACTTGGGTTTTGGAAATCATGTAAAAATAGATTAAAATCATAACAGAAACCCTAAGAATGAGTGAGGCTAAATTTGGTTTAATATTGGCCCTGTAGTTTAATACAAAACATCCTGGTGGCCATCTTGAACGGTAAATCGGCAACAAAATAGCAACACTTCATCAGCACCTCATAAGAAACATTTATGCCATGTTTGGTTTCATTCCATTCAGTGCACCTCTAGAAGAAGCATTTGTATGTATTTCCCATAGGGTCTTATGTTAAAGGAAGTCCCGTCGATGGCGGCCATCGTGTATGAAAGATCAGCTTCAAAGTAACAACACTTAGTCAGCACCTCATAAGGAACATTCATGCCATGTTTGGTTTCACTCCATTCAGTGGTTCTCTAAAAGAAGACATTTGTATGTATTGTCCATAGGGTCCTATGTTAAACTAAGTCCCCCGCTGGCGGCCATCTCGGATTATGGATCGGCTTCAAAGTAACAACACTTGGTCAGCACCTCATAAGGAACATTCATGCTATGTTTGGTTTCATTCCATTCAGTGGTTCTCTAAAAGAAGACATTTGTATGTATTTCCCATAGGATCCTATGTTAAACTAAATCCCCCTCTGGCGGCCATCTTGGATTATAGATCGGCTTCAAAGTAACAACACTTGGTAAGCACCTCATAAGGAACATTCATACCATGTTTGGTTTCATTCCATTCAGTGGTTCTCTTATAGAAGTTCAAAAACGTAAAAAGTTAACGACGACGTCGACGATGGACGACGGACGCCAAGTGATGAGAAAAGCGCAC